TCCCAAGGCAATAGAAATAAAAACAAAAAAACCACAAATGGGACCTAATCAAACTTACAAGCTTTTGTATAGTAAAGGAAACCATAAACAAAATGAAAAGACAACATATGGAATGGGAGAAAATATTTGCAAATAATGTGACCGACAAGGGCTTAATTTCCAAAATATACAAACAGCTCATACAACTCAACAACAAATAATAAATAACCCAATCGAAAAATGGGCAGAAGACCTTAAATACACATTTCTCCAAAGAAGACATACAGATGGCCAATAGGCACATGCAAAGATGCTCAACGTAGCAAATTATTAGAGAAATTCAAATCAAAACTACAAGGAGGTACCACCTCACACCACTCAGAATAGCCATAATTAAAAAGTCTACAAGTAACAAATGCTGGAGAGGGTGTGGAGAAAAGGGAACCCTGCTACACTGTTGGTGGGAATGTAAATTGGTGCAGCCACTATGGAAAACAGTAGGGAGCGTCCTCAGAAAACTAAAAACAGAGCTACCATATGATCTAGCAATCACACTCCTGGGCATATATCTGGACAATACTATAATTTGAAAAGATACATGCACCCCTATGTTCATAGCAGCACTATTCACAATAGCCAAGTCAAGGAAACAACCTAAATGTCCATCCACAGATGAATGGATCAAGAAGATGTGGTACATGTATACAATGGAATACTACTCAGCCATAAAAAAGAACAAAATTGTGCCATTTGCAGCAACATGGATGCAACTAGAGAGTATCATACTAAGTGAAGTAAGTCAGAAAGAGAAAGACAAACACCATATGATATCACTTACATGTGGAATCTAAAATATGACACAAATGAACCTACCTATGAAACAGAAACAGACTCACAGACATAGAGAACAGACTTGTGGTTGCCAAGGGGGGAGGGAGTGGGGGAGGGATGGATTAGGACTGAGAGTTTGGGGTTAGCAGATGCAAACTATTACACATAGAACTGATAAACAACGAGTTCTTACTCTAACAGCACAGGGAACTACATTCAATATCCTGTGATAAAACATAATGGAAAAGAATATGAAAAAGAATATATGTATATGTATAAATGAATCACTTTGCTGTACAGCAGAAATTAACACAACGTTGTGAATCAACTATACTTCAATAAAAAAAATAAATTAAAAAAAAAATCTCTGCCATACAAATCCCTTCTAAACCCTGACCTCATCGCCTTTTCCTTGAGGAAAGGTATCACTGCCCTGCAGGCCAACAGGAAGGTCACCAGGAGCAAAGCAGACCTTCCCTTCACACCCTGCCCACCCCCTTGTCGATGCTTCTTGCCTTCAGTTCCCAATCCTAGGAATGTGATTTGAAACAGGGCCAAGGTGAGAGGACATGAGGATTCCTTGTCATGAGGTGAGAGACTGGGAAGTTCTGAGTAGAGATTTCCTCTCATAAAATGAAAGCTTTGGAATATGCCAGAAGGAAAAGATGCCAAAGGAAACGGTCTTCCCTTAGCTGCCTCAGTAGGAGGGATGCTACTAGCATCAAGTACAACAAGGACAGGGGAGCCAGGCCCTGGAAGGTGGGCAGACGTGGCTTTGGGACCAGGTGTAGCTGTTTTACAATTAAAGGGTCAGATGCTGAAAGCAGTGTTTTTGGGGAGCTATGGACAAATGAATTCATAACATCTGTTTACATCTCTCGGTGCCTCCAGTCCCCTCCGTCCACTCAAATTTGTCTACCTTTTCTGGGGTGGCTACTTATTTTCAGCACTGAGATGGAAGACAGACAAAAGAAGAGCACTTTAAGAAATGCTCCAGACCAAGAAGTGCACTCTGAGTGCAGATCTTATTCCCAGGAGGTAATGATGGGAGAGGCTAAAGTAAACCGCCAAGATCGGTCACCGAGCATGTGAAATGCCTGTTTCTTTTCTCTGACACAAGTCATGTAGCACTTTGGCAATCAGCACTTTGCAAAGAGCAAAGCGGATGTCTGCTGTTGAAGAATGCATGCAAGACTGAAGCCAGCGACACTGTAATCCACCAAATGCCTGTGATGCAACCCACAGCTCCCCAGCTCACAAGTTTCCTCACTGAAGTCATTTCCAGGGAAGCCAACAAGAAATACTGAAATATGCAGGAAGAGCCCAGAAAGGCTGAAGGCACTGAGTTTTCCAAGCAAACAGCAACTGTGGAGGGACTGTTTTTCTACAACCGAGGGGGCTCCAGGGAGAAGAGCTGCACATGTGTGAAGCCAACCTTCGTACTTCACCAGGGATCACCTGGATACTTCAAGTTCAATGCAAATGCACAGCAGTAAAGAAAAAAAGAACATCAAGAAAAAGGTCTTCCCTGGTTTTGGTAACAACAGCTGGTGTGACCTCCATTAATCATAGAATTGGGCATCTGCAGGCCTTGCTCGCTGGAGAGAAGCCTCAGGCAGGTAGCAGCGATGACCTGGCGGCAGCTGAGACCCCTGTCTGTGGAGGGAGGAGGGCGTGCCCAGCGACTGAGATACCAAAGCATCCTTTAGTTCCTTGCACCTGCATACCCTTAACCTGGCAAACTGCGCTTCATAGAGTACGAAGCCCAGGTTTCCCTATGCCCTAACAGAAGACATTAGGTTTTAAAGACAAACACAAGAAGACTTCTGCACACAGAAATAAAATGCAGTGAAAGACTCTGGAATCTGTACTCCTAGTCACTGTCACCAAGAAGTGCTACTGCTCTCTGTTTTTCTCACTGTCCTACAGCAGATGAGGTTGGAGATTTTGAAAAGCAACTGGTAATTCCTCAGTCTGACTTTCAGCTCTGCAGGCTTGCACTGGCCTTGGCCTCTCAACTCGTCTGGCATCTTGTCATTGTCCTAACAGAGATCACTACTGCTGTGGACACCTGGCATGTGGACAGGCGGCTGTGTCAACATAAGAGGTTGGCTTTCATTTGGACTGCATAGGCCTTTGACAATAAGGTTTTTGCCCCTATTAAATGTTCCTCTTGGAGAGAAACATCAAATGAAAGAAACTTACAGGCTTTTGGCTGTGGCTTGTATTTTAGAACCATAATGGGAATGGGGTGTATAAGGCAATCTGACATTTCCCCATCTGGTCCCACTTGTTGACAAGTATCCCCCACCCATGCTCTCAACCACTTGAAAAGCCAGTGAAGCAAAAGAAAACTTGTGTTAGAACATTCTGGCCTTTCAGCAGGATCCTGGCAATACAATTACCTGCTGGAGAAATGTTTGGAGGAAGTATGGGGAAAGGAAGAGGCTACTAAGAAAAAGTAAGTGCCCTCTTGGCCAATAAAGACTAAAGGGCCAACCTTTAAAACAGTGGTTAGCAAACTACAGTCAGTCCTCAAACCAAATCCAGCCCTTAGGCTGTTTGTGTAAATAAAGTTGTTATTGGAACACAGCCATACACATTCATTTATATTGTTTACAGTGGCTTTTGCACTCTAATGGCAGAGTTGAGTAGTGGCAATAAACACATGGCCTGCAAAGCTCAAAACATTTACTAACTGAATCTTTGTAGAAAAAAATCTGCCAAAACCTGTTTTAAAACAAATAGAATTTCCTTTAACTTTGGAAAGTGCTCTGGCAAGAGCATTCAGTTAATCTGTAACAAATGCCAGCAGACACTTAAGGGCAGGGGAGGGCATCTCAGAGGCCTAAGGATTTAGTGTTCTGCACTTCTTTTATAGGATAAAGAACAACAGGTGGCCCTCAATTTTTCTGCAGCATCCTTTTACTATTACCCAACTCTTAAATGTTATACTGTTCCATGCCTACAGATCCTAGGCGGCTTTGCACTCTCTGTTTATGTGTGGGCAGTGAGAGCTATGACCATCCCATCATGATGTGTAAGTGGCGCTCCCCCCGGCCCCACCCAGTTTTTAGGGTAGTAAGAAATTAAAGAACAGCTGTATATTTTTGAATTAATGTCTTTGGGGTTTTTTTTTTTTTTGATTTATACCCAGGAGCGGAATTGCTGGGTCATACGGTAGTTCTGTTTTTAGTTTTTTTGAGAAACCTACATACTGTTTTCCACAGTGGCTGCACCAACTGACATTCCCACCAACAGTATACAAGGATTCCCTTTTCTCCACACCCTCACCAACATCTGTTACGTGTGTTCTTTTTGATGGTGGCCATTTTGACAGGTGTGAGGAGATATCTCATTGTGCTTTTGATTTGCATTTCCTCTGATGATTAGCAGTGTTGAGCATCTTTTCATGTACCTGTTGGCCATCTGCATTTCCTCTTTGGAAAAATGTCTATTCAGTTCTTCTGCCTGAAAAATGTCTGTTCAGTTCTTCTGCCTATCTTTTAATCAGGTTGTTATTTGAAAAGATATATACACCCCGATGTTCAGAGCAGCACTATTCACAATAGCCAAGATATGGAAGCAACTTAAGTGTCCATCAACAGAGGAATGGATAAAGAAGCTGTGGCGCGCACACACACACACACACACACACACACACACACACACACACACAATGGAATACTACTCAGCCATAAAAAAGAATGAAATTTTTGCCATTTGCAGCAACATGGTTGAACTTGGAGAGCATTACACTAAGTGAAATAAGTCAGAGAAAGACAAATACTGTATGATATAACTTACATGTGGAATCTAAAACTACAATAAACTAGTGAATATAACAAAAAAAGAAGCAGACTCACAGATTTAGAGAACAAACTAGTGGACGGGGTAGGAGAGGTAATATATGGGTTGGGGAGTGGGAGGTACAAATTATTGGGTATATGATAGGCTCACGGATTATCCGTACCACACAGGGACTACAGCCAATATTTTGTAATAACTGTAAATGGAAAGTAACCGTTAAAAATTGTATAGAAAATCATGATCCTACAATATATGTACATGCACAATCCTCGACTTCTGAAAAAATAAAAAATAAAGCACAGCGGACTTTTTTGAGCTGAAAGAGTCGCTGGGCGTCATCGTGACCCCCGCACACTGGCGGTCAGGGGCCATGTCTGTACCTGTTGGCCAAAAGCTGGGACCTGGTTCCTGAGGGCGAGGTCAGGTAGATGGCCAGGTCTCCCCTCCTGGGGTGGGTGATGGTGATGCGCACAACTACGTGTTCCAGGTAGCTGACGTGGTGGTTGGGATTGTCGGAGCAGCCCGACGCTTTGTAGACGGAGCGCACCGCACTGTTGGGCCGAACTGTCCTGCAACAGAGAGAAGGGGGTTTGAGCAGAGCACGAGGCAGAGCTCGGCTGCGTGAGCCTGCAGGCCTGGAAGGACCGCGTGATGCAATGCAAGCCGTGGTCGCTGGAGACTAAGGGACACAGTGTCATTACCCAAATGATTAGGTCGTTTAAGGGAGTAACCCTAGTTAGGGTGGGAAAGGTGCAAGTGAGAGGAAAGGAGGAATGAAGGTTCTTTTATCTTCATGCAGGTAGTGGATATCAATCTTGTTCAGATAGATCGCTGGGCCCTGGTGCTGGAGTGTCTGATTCAGTAAGGCTGGGGTGGGTCACAAGAATATGCCTTTCCAACAAGTTCCCAGGCGATAGGGATGTTGCTGATCTGTGGAATCCACTTTGTGAACCACCAGTATAGGGTACTGTGGTACAGTGGAGGCTTGGGGATGACTATGACCTTGATTCAAATCCCTGGTCTACCATTTCCTTTCTCTATAAGCCAAGCGCACACTCTTCCGCTTGCCTACAGGCTCCTGTCTTCTTCACTAGCTTCCTCCTGTGCCACTGTGCCCCTTGAACACTGGGTTCCAGCCACACTAGCATTGGTTCAAGTTCTGGGATAATTCAAGTTTACCTTAGCCACTTTGCATACACTACTCTGCCTCTAGTGCTTTTTTGCTGCTGTTCCTATGGCTGACTCTTCTTTCATAGTCAAAGCTTAAATTTCACTCTCTAAGATGGTCACTGAACCATAGGAAAAACATGTTCCCACCTTTTATTTACTACCCCTTTTATTATCAGCATTCGCTTATTGTCATTTGTAATGATCTACTTATTATATTATTTTGGTTTGACTCCCCCGCTAGACTGTAAGCTCCACAAGGGCAGGAAGCATTTCTTATTCCGGTTTCTATCCCTAATTATCTAGCCCAGTGCTTGATAGCCAGTAAGTGCTTGATAGCAAGAAAAATTGTTGCTGAATTGGTAAATGAATTTGTGAATGAATAAACAATTATTCCATTTGATCCCATTTCCTCCTTTGTCAAAAGGGAATAATACCCAAGTTGTTATAAAGTTTTAAGAAGAAAACACATTGTTTCTAACACTTGGCTTGACCTGTAGTAAGAGCTCAGTAAATACCGGTTAACTTTTTACTTCTTTTTTTTTTTTCTCTTATTCTTTGCCACAAATGGGTAGAATGGGGAAAAAAAAAACTTAGTCCACTTATTTCTGCTTCCTAACAAGTTCCTCAAGAATGATAATGGCTCTAGTTTTATTACAAACCAAAGTTCTTACGTATTTTTCCGAGCTAACTCTCTAAAAAGAAAGCTGAAAGCAAATTACTAATAAAATCACTAAAATAAATCCTATTCTTCGGATTCAGCGCCTAGGAGAGACTTCACTATCACTTGATGAATCCAATCAGCACAGCCTCCAAGTGTGTGAGGCTGAAACAGGGGACGAGGCCCTGGAAGCTGAGTAAACTGCAATCTCTTTTACTGGGCATCCTGCATCAATCTTCAGAGAACTACATGGTGTGCAGTTAAGTTTCCAGAACATAAGGTTTAGTTTTGGGAGTACACCAACTTATGGGGAATATTTCTACCATAAAATATGGGGAACACTTCTACCACCGATTAGAAATGTTGACAGAGTAGAAACTTGAAGAATGCCCATCTGTAAGGGTCCCCCCCCCCCACCCCCTTGTAAGGTACGTTTTTCTTTTAAGGATCCTTGGGTTATACTAGTGTGTATTTAATGGCTTAGGGTCTTAAGACATTCTATTAGAATTTTATAATTACATTAGAAAAATACTACACAAGTTTCTAGTTTCCATGTGCAACACAGGGCTGTCTCAAGATATCTGCACTGGCCTAATCTCTTTTAGGGCGCTGTCATGCTGTCTGCTTGCAGCAAACATTACTTGATTTGCCGGTCTGTGCTCTCCACACACACGTGCTGCTGGGGAACAGTGGTCCACTTCTCCGCCTCCATCACCATGGCTTCCGCATCCATCAGTCCAAATCCGTAGAGATGGCTCACTACAGAAGGCAAGAAGTTGGTCAGCTTTACCGTAGTTAGCAGCAACCTAGGCCATATATGTTGAGTTATACTTTCACACAGTAGAAAACCCAGACGCAACCCTACGGGAGCCAAGCTTTCTTTCTAGCAATGATTAAAAAAACAAATAAAACAAGTAAACAATCACAAGAAAATAAGATGAATGCATATTATTCATTGAATATGTTCTATAACTAGTAACATGACTACCATTTATGAATTGTTACTACATGGCAGGCACTAGTCCATATGTTTACGTTTAATTCTCCCAACAATCTTAAGATGTTAGTGCTATTATTATTATTCATGGATGAGAAAACTGAGGAAACAGAGAAACTAGGCTAAGATTGACCAGCAATTCAGTGGTTGAGCCAAATTCTAACCCACACAGATTTACTCCCAGGCCTCACTGTTAACCACTTGTATTCAAGTGATAACATCACCAATTTTGTAAGATAAAATAATGAGTAGGTTTAAAGAGAAGTGTATACAACTTCAAAAATACAAATTTTCTGACCTATCTAGTATTTTGGTTGAAAATCCTGCAAGACATAAATTATTATCTTTCCTCTGGCATATGAAAAATTTATTAAACTTCATGCATGAAATATCTGGAGGCCTCTAGACTTTTATGCCAGCTTCTTATCCTCGAATGTTATAAACTTTTAGCTCTCAATGAGAAATACCTATTGATCTAAAGCTAAATTTGACGTAACTGTCTCAGAAGTTTCAATTACATATAGGAATATTTTAATGATGATACAGTGAGATCTACATTTGCAGCTCTTTCTAAAAATACTTTAAAATCCCAGCTGAATGCTTAAAATCTCCACCTTGCATTAAACTCTCTCATATCTTTATATTTAACACAGAGTCCTACTTCGACCAGGTTTATTGCCTAAAACATTTCCTTATGACATGAATTACTTTATGCAGAAATGTCTAGAGATGCCCGTGCTTATGGATTATTTAAATACTTCGGCTTGAAATTCAAGATATTCTATGATACAGTCCCATTCTACTTTCAAAACAACCTCCTCACCAAACCTTCTGCGTTAGCAAGGTCAGTCACTCCTCTGCAGTCCCAGTCATATCTTGCTCTTTCTGCCTCACTGCCTTTGCTCATGCTGAGCCCTCGGCCTGCAGTTCCCTCACTCATCCTCTCTGCAGAGTCAAACTCTACTCTTCTAAGTTCCTGAAGGCCTAGCTAGTCTATCTTCTCCTTCTTGAAATAGTCTCTGACCAATAAAAGTCAATAGACATTTACTGAATTTCAACCATCTGTGATGAGTGAATTTTCTCCTTTCTAGACCCATAACTTTAATGAATTTGTCAATCCATCTGCCCTTCTGCCCATCTAGCCAGCCATCCATTCATCCATCCGTCCATGCATCCATCCACCTATCCAACATTTCTTGAGTGCCTTCTATACGTGCCAGGCACTGTATTATGCACTGCACTTTTTACCTGTGTCATCTATTGAATTGCTAATTAACTCTCTGTCAGCATGTCTTTTTACCCCAAATGTATTAGAAACTGCTTGATGGTAGGAACTAGGACTTATATGTCTTTATCTGTTTCATGGAAGTGAGCAGAACTTTACACACATGGGAGGAAATTACAGCATATAAAAAGGAAAATTGTGCTAGGATTCAGAAATACTGCTCCATTTCTGCTATTGGCTGATCATATAACTTTTGGCAAACAAGATAAAATATCTAACCCACAATTTCCTTGTGTGGGGATATTATTATCTATCCCATCACCATTACTAAATTGATTATTATTATATATCCTATATGAGAAAATCTGTGTAAAGAACTATACAAATGGAAGTGCTCATTATTATATCAGATACTCAGCCAGACAGGACATACTGAATAAAACAGAATAAAAGTACTTTGCTATGGCAAGGATATATTTAGGATTTTTATACATGTACTTTTGTAACTTTTATTATAAGTGATTTTTTTCTTGATTAAAAAGTAATGTATGTTCATTGTAAAAACTTGTAAATACATCCAGAAAAGAATAAAATAGAACTCATCACAAGTCGGTAAATGCTACTAAAAATTCTATTTAGTTTTATTTATATAGTATTATGTGAGGTAAGCTTGCCGCCTTAATTAAAAAAGATACAAAGTAACCCACATAATAGAGGAGAAATGTCAAATTTGGGCTTAAGGAAACGAAGTTGTGGAGAGCTTTTGTTAAAGTTCATATAAATCCTATGTTGTCACTTATCACTTAACCATAGTCTATATCATTTCATCATGAATACTCTAAGGTATTTTCTTTCCCTGGAGGAATTGAAATGATTGCCGAAGACACAATACTAGGCTGACTCTGCATGGTGCACGAATATCCCCAGACTAGCGTCAAGCGCTTTTAAACCCGTACAATTTATCACTTAGTCTCAGTTTAGGGAAATGAGATAAGAGATTTGATTGATATGAGGGGAGTAGGGAAGAGGGTAAGTGGGGGCCTGGGGAGGGTAAGGGCTTTGAATAGTCTACAGAGTGGGTGCCTGGGCCCCAGCTCAGCTGTGCACGCTGCTGTTCCCTACCTCCCCACACCCCACCCCCAATAACTGTCAACTTAACCTTTAGGACATAAATTAACACACAGAGTCATCAAATACAACAAACACTTCACGACTGTTAAACAACCACTCGAGTTAAGTAGAAAAGCACCTTGAGTCTTTATGAAGGCCGTAAATTTGTTTCGGTTTCCGATTCAGTTCCTACCCTCCAGAGACAAGGTCTGTTCACGCAACACTCAAAGGAGGTGCTCAGAACAGAGGCTGAGTAGCTGCAGTAAAACTACAGACTGGCAGGTCAACAGAGAGAAAAGTGTATATTAATAAAATATTAATAAATGAGGGAATCAGAAGAGATCATTGAAGTCCATTGAATCAGTAACGGAGCTTTTCAGAAATTTAAATTAGTTTAAGATACCTGAAATTGTGTATCTGCCCACAATCGTGATACACAGTCTAAGAAAAAAATGAAATAAATTTATTTCTTCTTTTTTTGGGGGGGGCGGTGCTGACAATATATCAACTCTGTGTATTCTGATTGGCAGTTATTTGTTTGGTTTTTGGCAAATACTAATGAGAAGATAATTACACAATGAATGTGTTGGGCAGATAAACTCCTTCAAAACACGGTGTCAACAGGGAAACAAGCCATTAAATGGTATGGGAGCACTAGTCATTTTTCTGATAATTTTTTATATAATATAAAGTTTCACATTCTAAAATTAGCTATAAATTCAGAAACACTGTTCTGTTTGAGTCAACCATTTGAGTCAAGCCTTGCCCATCACACTGTTACCACTGTTACCGTGCCCCATGGAGTATGATTTCTTACAGTGGCTGCAGAACAGCTGGCTTAGAGATGAGGTTCCATATGTATTTGTGAAGTGAATGAATGTAACTGATTAGAGAAATTTTCTGTAATTCACCAAGTGGCATAAAGTGTTTTTAGGAGAATTGTAAGGGGGAATTAGGAGCTCTGTTCTTTTTGTGACTGACTACTATAAAGTCATCATTAATACTCAAAATGTATTCAAGTATAGAGCCAATATTCCTATTTTTAAAATTTATGATTACCTGTATAGCAAATATACCAGCAAACAACTGGTTGTGATATGGCCATTCCATAACTCAAATAGTTTTATCTATGCACGTTTCTCATGCCAAGATCAGAGCAAATCCTGAGCCTGAAAGTAACTTCGTGATGATCAAGTGGGACCTCTCTGTGCAAGCACTGTGCCAAATACAAAATTCTTTGAATTCAATATTTAGAAAGACGTGGAGGGAACAAAGCATGTATATAGATTAACTAAAGATCTCGGAGCACAGTTAAGACATGTATTTCAGAAAGTACATTTATCTCTTGGTAGAATGATGCTGAACGAGGTTAATAAAGGGAATCTGAAAAACTTGCTTAGCGTTATATTTGTTCCATTAGGCGGCATGACTGTTTCTGCAGATAAGTTCCGAAAAGTGGAGCTGCCTGGCGCCAGAAGTTTAACTAGTTTTTATGCCAAGTAATCCAAAAGCTTCCCTGCTTGGACTAGTCAGATGGCCGAGAGAAGGCAGGAAAATAGATAATGTTCTCCGGCAGGTATATTTCCATCTTCTGATGAGACCAGAAGTGCCAAGAGGAGCGAATCATTAAATACGCAAGTGAACAGTTGCAAAGTTCAAAAGCAGATACACTTAATTTAGACCACAGTGCTAGCTATGAGACCTAAAAAAGTCAGTTCTGAAGAAAAGTTAGAAAGCTCAGTAGGAAAAGAAAAATTAGAAGTTTCGGGCACAGGAAGCTATAACCAGGGAAATTTGGTGTACTTCTATCTCTCTTAGCGGACATCCTTGCTGATGCCAGCTATTTTAAATCGTTTTTAGAAAAATACCATACTGAATACATATTTCATAACTCTAAAATGGCTACTAGTAAAGCACTCACTATATACTAAAGTAATTGATTGGAAAAAGTTGTGTGTGTGATTTTTTTTTTTTAAGTTTCTGAGGTTCCTGAAGTAAGGCTTTCTGCTACCAGCTGTCAGATGTACAGACAATGCTATGTAGCATCCAGTGTAAAGTAGGGCAAACAACAACAAAAGCCATCCAAGTTGCCTATGAGAGATTAAAAATTTTGCCTGTGACTGAAAAAAATACAACTAAGTGACAGCTATCCATTCCTGAGCATTTAATATAAAAGTACAGCCAATTTCTTCCACTGGGGAAATCGTTTCTTATGACTAACACAACCAAATGCCTAGGTTTACCCAGAGGTGTCCTGGTTTTAGCACTGAAATCCTGTGTCCCGGGGAAAGCCTTCATTCATGGACAAACCAAGAGAGTGGCTACCCCACGTGGAACCAAGGGAGTAAGGTGATGCTCTTATGGGGTGGCACAGAGCTCTCACATCTTTTAATATCAATAATCCAGTAACTAGAAGACATATGGGCA